TGAGAGTTGAGCCAGACCAATGGTTCGCTTGGGGCCAACAATGGTTCTCGAGTTCTGGCCACGTCCAGGGTGTAAGCTCGGGGAATGACAATTATCATGCATGTGTCCCCCGCCCCAGACTTCATTCTTGTGTCTTCTTGGATGTGTTTTAGTTTAGACCACTTCATTTTAAGTTTTAATTCATCTTTTGGGTCATTCCTTGTTATGTTTAGCCCGAAATCAATCTAATCATATTTATTAGCTTATCACATCAATTATACATAAATTACTTGGATATTCCTAAGTTTATACACAAAACATATAAGTAAAATATGGTGCTTAAATGCATAAATACACTGTATCAAGAAACGCCCTAGAGTTTTGTAACCTACTAAATTCTTATGATTATAACATTGAATAAACAAGGGTTAAATGTGAGATTCAACATTCTAATCCCTAGATTTCAGCAAATGAATTCAAGATCACTAAAAAAAAGATTTTTTTGGAGAATCTTTGAAAGATAAGTTCACTGCTTAATTACAACGATTAAATCAATAATTGAGGTTCGTGTAATCTATTGAAAGATGCATAATCATTGGTTGATTATCAAAATCTTAAGAACATGGATTTTGACCTAGAATCCTATTTTTTTTTTTAAAAAGGAGAGAGCTTAATAAAATTGATCAAAGTTCTAAACTTTATAATCGTAGTTGATTGTATAACTATCGTTGAACAAGGTGGAATATGTTTAAAAGTCTTTTTAGCAGAAATTGAGGTATGCCTCTTTTTTTTAACATTCTTTGATCTTAATGGTGATGTGATATGACTTTATGTGTGTGCGGGACAAGTTTGCACCGATCTATCGGATTTTGATTCCATACTATGAAATGTATATGTACATGATTTGCCTTGTGAAGAGAATTGTTGAACTTGATTGTTAAAAGAAATGATCTTTAAACACATTTTTGAGATATAATGAAACATTTTAAACAATTAGGTTCGTCCAGATAACAACTGGGCATTGTTGGTTGGTGTCGCGATGCATCACTTTTGAGCAATGAAAATTTATTAGGATTTTTTTATTTTGGATTTGCCCTTAAGCTGATATGCGATTACTTTTTAGTTTGTCCTATGCTGCAATTATTGATTTATTTGTTCTCTGCTAACATGTTAATAAATCTATTGACCTGTTTTTTTATATTGAAAGGTTCGACATAATTTGACTGTTGATGCATTGGCCGATTTTAATAATTTTCATGAAGTACTTTATTATTAAATTTAAATTATTTCATTGAAATTGATTTTATTGATTATGAATATTATTGTGATTATTTTTTATATTAACTCTTGTCGCAAGACACTTAATGAGTAATGAATATATTACATTGAATAACCAAGAACATGTATAACTTCACGTAAATAGCTGTCTTTTTACCTAAATTATTATTCTATGATCTTTTTTCCATAGTACAAACTATGAGTGAACTTTCAATTCTTCGATGTTCGAATTTGAAAAAATATGCACCTAATTTTGAACCGAACTAATTTGATTCGATTTTGAAAAAATGTGTACCAAAATTTTGAACTGAACCAGTTAGACTCGATTTGATTCCATTTTTTTAAAATGGTTTTTCGGTGTAAATAAAAAATAAAATGATAAGTCAACATTCAGTGGTTATGTAAACTATAAACTTTAATTATTGATTTGTGAGTCTCAAAATTATTCTAAACTATTTAAGACATCAACACTCAAACCTCAAAACCTCCCATTCAACACTCAACAATTCACGTTCAGGCTTCAACAATTCAATGTAAATTTCTAGTGATTTATAACAGTACACAACATTTAATAAAATCACTAAAAAAAAGATTCTACAAGGACTAAGAATTGAGACTCGAAAGTCAAGATTGTGAGTGAGAGATACACACCGTCGATTGCGATTAATTAGTTAGAAAAGATCGAGACGCCTTACATCCTTGGCCCATCGCGACTGAGTTACTGAGAATGAGAGATGGGAGAACAGAGAAGAGTCGAAGTCAGAATTAGGATTGTGGCCTGCGATTGTGAGTTTTTTTTAGGCTAAGGGGATCATTACCCCCCTGAACTTGAAGCTTTTTATGTAGTGTACACCTAAACTATAACCTGTTTTAAATACCCTAATGAACTTATTTATTCATTAATCGCATAACATGTATTATCCACCTGACGTAGAAATATACTACAAACTCAATCAGACGCGCGAGGAAGTAAAATTGTTGCCACATCACAAAGCTCTAACGATAAAAAAATAAATAAAAAATCTCCATTCTTTTTTAATTTTTTTTTTCTCTTTTCAGAGAACATCTCTCTCTATTTATTCTCCCTTTTCAAATTTCATAAATTCTCTTTTATTTTTTATTTTTTCCTTCTCCATCTTTTCAAAACTGCATTTGCTAAATTCATGAATTATAATATAAGACTTGTTTGTTTATGTGGGACTCCTCCAATTCTAAGAATGTAACACCTCAGATTTGAAAAGAAGGAAAATGCAATTTTTAGGCTGGTGTCTGTGTCTACGGGTCCCATCTACGGATTGTAGAAGCTTCTACGGACCATAGATGGCAACCATAGGAAGTGGGAAAATATTTTTTTTTCAAAAAAAAATTAGTATCCTTTTTACAATTCACCAGGACGGCCCGTCACTCCATGTACGAGTCGTAGATTGGTCTCAAACGTGACCCCACACTTAGTGAAATTTTAAAGCTTAAAGTTGGTTTTTATGGTTGACATGTACAATCCGTAGAAAAATCTACGAGTCGTACATGAGATCCGTCAAAAAGTTGGGCAATTAAGAGTCTCTGATCATTATCTACGGTTAAACTTCTTCTTCAAAATCAGTCCAATCTATTGAAGAATAAAAATCATTAATTTCTTGTTGTGCAGTTGCAACCCTTTCATTCTCAACTCTTTGACTAGATAGAAAGGTAGAAGAAGACCCTAACCCTAGATTTTGATTTTTTGCTTGTGCATTTAAGGAACCATTAGATTCTCCAAGCGCATTAAAAGACTCCCTAACTTGAAAGATTGACTAACCTGGCCTTCAGACGTAGGACCCACATCCTCCGGAGTAGAGTCATGACATACATAAATATCTATTATGTCTTCATCATGCAAAAACAATGCAATATCACAAATGTCCTATCGTTTTTCAATCCAACCTGATCACTTCCTAGAGATGGAACTGCATAAGTTTTTCCTAACTTACTAATCCCAAAAGACTTAGCATAATTAGCAAGTTCAGAAATTGACAAATGATTTTCATCCACATTAGACACATGTTCAGCCTACCCTCAATATATATTGGACCTACCTCATTCACCAAGATACCCCCAATTGGAACTTTAAATTGAGGTACTTATTAGTAGCCATGGGGTCAACTTATAACCACAATAATAATCAATCATATAACAACATCAAAACATAGGCAACAACACCATAATAGAGGCAAGATCTAAAATACTAATTTTACTCATAAGCACAAAATTATACAAGGAAATTTACATAAAATTTTAATATTTAACAATACCAAAACAGAATTGATGAATTGGAACCCTAAAACCCCCTAAAATATTGACTTTACTCACAAGAATACAAATATACATAAGGAATTTACAAAAAAAATCCAACACTTAACAATACAGAATAGAATATTGGAATCAGAATCCTAGAATCTTGATTTTACTAAAAAACCCTATTTTTTTTAAACTAAGTACCGAAACCCTATTATGCATGCATGCATAAGCTGAACAAGTTCACAATAATACATTCAGTAAGTAAAAACTCTAGTTGAAAACTATCAAATTCCTGATCGGAAGCTCAATCAGTAACTATGGAGAAATCCTAGTCGAAAAATATGGCGAAACCCTAAACGAAAGTATGATAAAATATAAATGAAAAAATAAAGAAAACAAACAATAACATATTATAAGAGTGATCATCACTTACTTGGTAAGAATTTCAGACAATATCAAAGAAAATCAACCAAAAGCTTCACGAAATCGAGAAAAAATTTCACGTCTAAGAATTGCAATTGACCCAGATCGAGCAAGAGTTTCACAAAAAACCTCTGTCGATTACACTTCTTAGAGAGAAGATTAGTGAGAAGATTTAAGAAGTTTTACACTCCGTTGACTTAGTGAGAATATTTACTAATAATTATCTATTTATCCATCCGGACATCCACATCAGCTATTTTATCAACATGTCATGTGCGTGTAAACACGATTGGCAGAGGTGGACGATACAGATTTACACAATTAATGAATAAACAAGTTTACGGGTATTTAAAACGGATTATAATTTACGTGTACACTACATAAAAAACTTTAAATTCAAGGGGTATTAAACACTTTTGCCTTTTTTTAAAAAAAAAACACTTAAAAATTAGGGCTAAAGTTTGCAAATTGAATTTTGATCGGTCAAAGCTCAAAATGTATAATTAAGATAATTTAAAAATTAAAATATTAGTTTAAATTTATTTGATAAAACTTTTGTTCTTCAATACATTGTGAAATTATGACCTGGTGTATATCAAATCGAAGAATCAAATTTCTCGAAAAACGAACCAAAACACTAAAGAACCTACCACCAAAAAACTAAAATAATTCAATTTTGCGATAGTTATGCCCACCACATCTAATAGAGACTTAAATCCATGCCACAAAAGATCAAGGAAAGGATTCCATTAAAAACCCAAAAAAAAAAAAAAAGGATAGTGGGAGTGGAGAGGAAAAGGAAGTGCCAAGAGAAAGGAGCCAAAAAAAAAAAAAAACTCTATGCAACAGTAAAAAGCTGTCACACTATATAGGTTCACACTTTGGCACCTTTTGAAAGAAGCATCCACGCGTCCCGTTGTATTTTCTTCACATACCCACCCACAGTGAAAATTACTTGCTAAAAATCTGGCTTACCATGTAACAGCACACATATTATAAAATCTGTCCCTAGCACCAGCTCACACACTGTCGTTCTCTCACTGACAGAGTCACTCACCAGTCACCACTCTCTACTGTATCCCCTCTTTTTCTTTTTCTTCATTTGGTAAAGTGAAAACTCACAAAAACTTCTCTTCTCAAACAAAAATTGGTGAGCTTTTTCTTCAATTCTATTGTATTTATGTATATCTTATTTACCAAGTTAATCACTTTACTTTTTTTCTTGAACAACAAGAATGGATAATATCACCCTTTTTGTCTCAATCTGAGTTTTGGTTCTTGTTACTGTTTTCTCATCGATTCTTGGAGAAATTGATTAAAGGAATGGGGACTTCTTGATTTAGAATTAGTGGGTACAAGTAAGTGTAATTGTTTTTACAAGAAGTGGGTTTTTTTTCCCACTTTTGGAGAAACAGACTGAGGGAATGGGTTCTTGTTAGCTCAAATCTTCCATAATATGGATTTTTTTTTGTGTGTGTTTCGGACACCCTTTTCTTGGTTTGTGCTACCTGCTCAGCTTACTTTATTTATTACTGTAATTTTTATCCATTTTTGGTGAAACAGATTAAGGGAATATATAGTTATTTGCTCATAACTTGCATAATATGGAAAATCTTTTTGGGTTTCAGACACCCTTTTTCTTCCTTTATTTTCTGGGTTTAGAATTAAACTGATGTGAAAGAAACAAAATTGACCCAATTAGTTTGTAGTTTTGAAGTCTCTTCGATTGATGTTTGGGAGTCTTTTGTTTGCTGTTAGTTTCTTAAGAGATGGGAGGTAAAGTTTGCAGCATTTACGATGCTGACTTCCTAAACGATGAGCTTCACTAGTATTTTCTTGGAAAAGAATTCATCCGTTAGTTTAAGTATGGAAAAGTCTGTCTTCTTCTTTTGGTGTGGATTCCAATGAAACCCTAAGATGGGGGACCAGAACTTTCCAAACAAGTACCAACTACCCCTCTCTCTACTCTTAAGAAAAAAATGTGTTTTTATTTTTCTTTTCATAGATATATTAGCTGAAGAGATAATGGAAAAAAAAACATACAAATTATGGAGTATTTCATATCTGGAAAAAGGGTGTCAGTAAATCTGTCACAATCAAGAAAACAGAATAATTAAACTTGCATATTTATTAGACTGAGTCGTCGGCAAGCATTTGTTTGTGCCATTTGTTTGTGGGGTTGATGAACCATTTAATGTTTGGTTATTTATTTGGTTTCATTGATTAGGTGATGAAACAAGTAGCTGAAAATGATGTTGTGGAGTTAACAGATGGGAGAAACATTTGTGGACTTGGACTGGAAGGGATTGAGCTCTGTTTCTGTATTTGAATAGTTATCCTTGTCTACTTATAGTTTTCTCACCGTCTTAATCAGCTTCGTACTAGTTACTGGAATCATACAGCTCTGTCAAAGAGGTGAATCTCATTTTCTACCTTGTTTTGAAATAATTGAAGTTCATGTAGTAGTTAGTAGTATGTGTGTGAGCTGCTTTAGAGTACGAGACGGAGTAATTACAATACCCTTTTCTTTCTTTTCATTTCTCTCTCTTTTTTTAAAAAAATTCTCCCTTTAGTAAATGGTTTGGGAAGTAATTGGTTGAGAAGCTGCTGTTTGTTAGATTATGGCTATATGAGTGGGAACTAGCAGAGGAATAGTTTCAGACATACTATTTATTGTCTGTATCATGGTGAGTCTCTTGATTTCAAGAATTCAAGTAGTATATGTTATGCGGCTTGGGTGTTTGACTGTTGATTTGTGGGACAGTACTTTGTCATAATTTAGTTCATTTTGCTCTGAGCTATTCAATTAGTCTGGAAAAGAAGTTGGATTAGGAGAGATAATAATATCCTGCAAGTGAGAAAGAGAATTAGTTACAGTTTTAGAGGTAGAACAGCAAATTTGAGAACCAGCCAAGCTCTACATCATTGGGTGAGCCTTGATGGGATGGTCTCCATTTCTTTTCTTCTTGTCCTGAATTTGTGTACTTGCACTTTGCTTCTTGCTTCCCTGTTGTCCGACAAAATGCTTGTTTTGCCTTTTGTGAAATTACGTACTTGTTAAACTAGGAATAAATATCAGTTAACTTTGAGTGTAAATATTTTGCAGAGTCAAGTCTTAATTACTGTTTTGCATTCCATGAGTCTGGAAATTTGGTAAAGCCATCTCATAGTTTCTTTCCCAAGATGGAGTGGAATGTTAAGTGGGACTGGGGAAATCTCGTAATGTTTGGTTCAAAGGCCTCTGAAAGTCCAAAAGAACTACAATTAACAGATTGGGGAGTTGAAGAAGAGGGAGAACTTGATGGGGGATCTTTCAATTTGTCAAGTGGCGGTAGTGGCACGGGTGGTTATGGTTCTGATGTGAAGTGTGGTTCTTCCATCAAAAGCTCAATATCAGCTTCTACCGACTCTTCACCAAAGGAGGGCTTTAAAGCATCCAACTTTGCTTTTGAGGCATTTAATGCCTCTCCTGAGGATCCTAGTAAGAAATTGGAATCCTCCAAAGCTGAGGTCTCTAGAAACTCACCACCCATGGAGGCTTCAGTAGGCTCTGTTGAACCAGTGATAGGTCTAAAACTTGGTAAGCGGACATGTGAAACCTTTGGTGGTGGAAGCAGTGCTAAGGTTTCATCCTTCCCCCCGAACCCCACATCATCTGCTGCTGCAACAAAGAAAGCAAAATCATCTAGTCAGAATGCACCAATTCCTCACTGTCAGGTTGAAGGTTGCAACCTTGATCTTTCTTCAGCTAAAGAATATTATCGGAAGCATAGAGTTTGTGACAGTCATTCCAAAAGCCCAAAGGTTATTGTAGCAGGTGTAGCACGCCGCTTTTGTCAACAGTGTAGCAGGTAAATGTTTGATGAATCTAAGGTTTCTTTGTATTAGATCTTTGATGTCCTTAGAATGCACCATCTGCCCCTTTAGCAATAACTTCTATATGTAGCACTAGTTCATCGCTCATTCTTTCTATTTTTAATCTTTAAATTAAGGTTCCATAGCGTGTCTGAATTTGATGAAAAGAAGCGAAGCTGTCGTAGGAGGCTCTCTGATCACAATGCACGGCGCCGCAAACCTCACCAGGAAACTATCCAATTCAATTCAGCGAGGCTTTCTTCGTTGTTTTATGGTATGTTGTCTATATTGGGAATTGTCCTTTCCCTTCTTGCAATGTGGCTTTGAGTGCTCAAATGACATGCTTCAGTAATAGTTATTGAGATTTGAGAATAAGTTAACATTTTGTCTGACTAATTGACAAAAATCTATTCCTAATGTTTCTTTGCTGGTGTACACCAGTTGTGTACTGGCATTAATTTTAATAATCCAGATACATTTAAGATGCAAACATCACTTTTATCTAAAACAATAACGTGTACATAAAGTTGATAAGAATTAGTTGTGATTGAGCAATTGTCTTCTGGAAAGTGGGTTTTTTGTTGGACCATCTGCTTATCCATAAAGTCGTTCGTGTGAATTTACTAAGTATCATCTTATGTGGTTTTGTGTTTACAGATAGCAGGCAACCCATGAATCTTGTGCACAACCAAGCACAACTCATTCACTCCAGAGCTGCTGCGAACTCTACCTGGGAGAGCACTCAAGACTCTAAGTTCAGTATCACAAGAGGGTTTACTCCAAAGCCTGAAAGAACTAGCAGCACAACTGGGAAGTCACTACTGGAGGGGATCCAGTTTTCACGGGCTGTGGGTGCACAGAGTAATGCATCTAGCTTGCTCTTGCCCTCCAAGGGCACCGCAGCCGAGGTTTTTAATCGAGGTTTGTTTCACTCTATTGTGAATGCAATGCCGTTGTTCATTGCAATCTTTGAATTTTGTGTGATTGTGCAAAGAAGATCTCTACTGTTGCCTGCCTCTATTTGTATCTTTTTTAAAAGCAGTTATATCAATTTAGTTGCTTACTGGATTAATCAGTAGTTACAGACTCCCAAATGCAGCAGTTCTTATTAAAGTATATCTCCCTCCTAATTAGTACTCATCCTTTTCTTTTGATAAGGCCAATTTGTAGTCAACAATAGCTGCATTGTATTTGCATTATGGATTACAGAGTACGATCTTATCTAGAACCCAACAATAAATGTGCCATAGTCTACTTGTGCCTTTTCTACATCTGGCCCATGTGTGTTGAAGATGGTAGCAAGCATTTTGGTTGAGAACTCTACTTTTACATCTAGGAGACCTTTATTTTTGCTTGAACTACAGTTTTAGATGTTCTGTAACACTTATGAATTAGACTTTAAAGGCGTTTTCATCCAGGAGTCGATTATGAAATTTTGCAAGAGTGCTATCAATGAGACTTCAATGTGGTTGAAGCAGAACTAGACTTGCTATACTAACTATGCATTGGGGGTTGGAGATCATGACTAAGTTTCTCTTCGTGTTTCATACTTGAATAAATTGAAAGACTAAGCTGACAACATGCGGCCCATACCTAAAACTGAAAGACATTGCTAGATATGGAAGATACAAAAAGTATCATATCCAATATATAACTGATAGTAGCAGTAGAATTGACTGATCTTCTTCAAAATGGAAGAAAAAAAAGGAGATTGAAAGTTTGAAATGCTGCTATGCGTGTCCTCTTGAATTTTGAAAAGTTGCTCTTTAATATGTTCCACTACAAAGAATTGTAGAATTTAGGAAAGTAGGGAGGAACTTGAGTGGTAGGAAACTGATTGAAAGTGCAAGATAGTAGAATTCCATCTCTAAGTATGTTAGTTTTTCTTTTCTCTATCAGGTGCCAAGGAATCCATGTTCAATATGGTTACAGGACCGGAATTTCCTCGTGCTCTCTCTCTTCTGTCAACTAATTCCTGGGGTTCATCCGAGCCTGAGACTGTTTCACTCAACCATGCAAATCAAACCAGCATGCCCGAGCAGCAGATGATGCAGGCAATTCCACAGGGTGTGCCGCATATGTCCAGTCAATACTGGCAGCAGGCTGGACAACATTCATCCGATACTCGTTACCATACATTGGCTGCTAATAGTAACAGTGGCGGTAGCTTTCAGGAAATGGGAGTGTTCAAAGCTCCATTCGACACAGACTTTTATCTCAATGCATTGAACTGAAGCCAACATCTGATGTGTTGGTGTATTTTCAGGATTTGGCGACCTTCCCATTTTGCCCTTTTGACATGTCAAAACTTGGATGAAGCAGAAGGTCTGTTTAGTACTGGTATATAATATATAGGTTGGGCTTTTAAACTATTAAGAAAGTCTAATATTATGAATTATGCAGTAAATTTTTGTTTGCCAGTGACATGAATTCCCAAGAATTGTAATTTCTTGATTCTGCAACTTTGGAACATTACTGCACAGGTTCCATCTATTAAAGACTTTTTCATCATGTTCTACAGTGTTCAATTATTATATTAACATTATGTTCTATTTACGTTATTAGTCTTCATGACCTTACGTTCATTGAATGATGAATATGACTATTTTACCAAGTCATTTTTGTTTTGTTTTTAGGAAAACTAAGTCATTAACTTATGGGATATGTTGCCAAGGATCCCGCGTCATTTTATTTCTCCTCTTCATTTTTTCTAAATTTTGCAGAATTAATTAGTTAAAATAAATCTCCAATTATGTTTAAAATAATTGATTATTTTTATATATCTGCTTTCAGAAGTTAGTTACAATTTCATAATTGTATATCACGTTATATTTATTTATTTTTACTTTTTTGCCTTGAGTAAATTTTAGTGAGCATAAATTTTTTTCCTTTTTTTCTTTTCTTGATATAGGTTAAAAGTTTTATTTTTTCCCAATGGAGTAATCTTGAGAACCACAACTCATGTAAGGTAATAGATCCATTTTCTTGGAGTAACAAAGAATTTAAGGTTGATTGCTTATATTTAGCTTCTAAAACTAAAAATATATATTAGATTGATACTTGATTTTTTTTAATTTAGCAGATAATATTTTATTAATACCTTTAATTCGTAATACGATCAATTGTAATTTTTCCATTTTTGAATGTATGTTAGTACTTAGTAGGGTAGGCGCTTGGTATTCGGTTAAGAAATTATTTCAAGTTTGATCATTCAGTAATTGATAGTTAAAAGTAGATATCAAATATCAAAGTTTGAAATTTTGGTTCGGTAATCGTTAAATTAAATTTCGATTTGGTATGATATTCGATAATACCATATTGAAGTTATAGCCGATTGTATAACAAAGTTAGTTTTATTTTTCCAATCATTTCGATTTTTTTATGTGGAGGCACGATATACTAAAAGATCAATAAGAGAGAAGACATCAATAAAAATAAATTGATACAACTAAAAGACATGTATTTGGGTTGTTTATGTTCATTCTTTAACTTTCTTCTTTGGACTTGCACTAATGAGTAATGGACATATTAATACACGATCTTCACCAACATGGGTTGTGGTGCACTGGTAGGAGTGCTTCACACTTAACCAGTGGTCTCGAGTTCGAGCCCTGAGTATGAAGAAAATCTTGTTGGGAGCGCCACCCCAAATGGGCCGTGCAGTGCACCATCCGAATTTAATCAGAGCTCCAATGTGGGCTTCTTGACACCGGGTGGAAAACCAAATAAAAAATACATGATCTTCATTACGTAAATAATTCGGTATTCGAAAAATATCAAATCCAAACTTGAATACCATAATTCTAAAATTTTACTCTCAAATACCCAATTACCGTATACAAAATTACCAAAAAATCCCGGCTCGCTAATTCGGTTTTCAGATCTAAATGTGAGCCTATCTAGTACAATATATTGAGAAGTGTGTTTACATATTTAAGAAAGCTATATGGTAGATCTAAAATTATGTGGTAGTAAAAATATTGTAGATCTAAAATTATGCGATTTTAAAATATATGAAAATAATTAATCATGATTAAGACTTTATTTTAATTAATTGAATCTGAATCATAAAATATGATGTGTCATCAATTCCAAGTAAGAACATTATAAAATAGAAAGAGAGAAAATATGACCCTTCACCCTTGTTTTGTTTTATCATGTAATGATTACATTTACACCCTTCTTTTTTTTGCTGTAACAATTTTACAAATCCTTTAAGTTTATTCCCCAAAAAAATTAGCCAATGCTCCACCAAAGATTTAACTCAAATTCTGAACCCCTTCGTTGATTTTGGATGCAGGAGTACTAAAGATTACTGCACATATTGTGATCAAGGAGCCGTTTAGAGCTCAATTTACGGTACGGTATCCAACCATACTACTGTTGACTAATCAAATCTACTAAAGAAGACTCATTTCTTATTGTAATCATAATCAACTTGGACACACCTTGACTAATGTTATTGAATACGAAAATTTTTATAATGGTAGAGGCCCAACCAATAATAGTTGTGTGAGCCTCCATTGATTAATTGACACTTGGATAATGTGTCTACTTCTTTACCTTTTTACCATCTCTCCCTTCTTTACATTCATTTTCTTACTCCTAATAAATATTTTTTAACTTCATTTTCTTAAGATGTTGATATATTAAATAAAAGAATTAATAAACATTTTTTTATCACAATAACTAAAAGCGTTTTTAGGACTGGGTATTTAAAATACTCATATCATTCAATATTTTTAATAATATCAAATTAACTCAAAAATATTTAGTGTTTTCTCAATTACTAGCACCTAAAAAAAAATTAATTCAAATTTAGTTTTCCATATTTTTTTAAATTCTGTTTTAGTTCATATATTTATAGTTATGATTTTTTTGTTTTATTGCACTTGAAAAAATATTCTGTTTTAGTTCATATATCAACTTCGTTCTGTGAAATCTTCAATTTTTTTGTTTAATATATAAATATTAGTATATGTAATTTATAAGATTATTTTTGTTTTTGATTTTTGATCTTATTTTAAAATTACACATACTTTTTCTTTCACCATAACCATATTTAAATATAAGAATGACAACGAAATAGAACAGGACAGGGAGTGACAGACTCATAAACATTTTTGAAAAATTTATACAGGTGAGGCGGGTCACAGAATGAAATTTAAGTCTTTTAAATTAAAACTTACAATGCTTAATTTATTTTCAAAAATCAATCGATTCCATATAATTTTAAATTAACTATTCATTATATTATTATTATTATTATAATATCATTCAACCTTAATATTATTAGAATTCATTTTTCGTGTCTGTACGTACATTCAGTTATAATATGTTTTTCCCAACGTTTTCTATCAAGTATTTTAAAAAATTAGAACTAAAATTAAGAAAAATAACGGATACTCTATGTTAAGAGAATGACTATAAATATATGAACTAAAACAAAATTAAAATAACAATGACTATGAATATATGAACTAAAACAGAATTAAAATAACAATGATAATGAATATATGAACTAAAACAGAATTTAAAAAAATATGGAAAACTAAATTTGAATTAATTTATTTTTTTAGGTGCTAGTAATTGAGAAAACACTAAATATTTTTGAGTTCATTTGATATTATTAAAAATATTGAATGATATGAGTATTTAAAATACTCAGTCCTAAAAACATTTTTAGTTATTGTGATAAAAAAATATTTATTAATTCTTTTATTCAAATTATCAACATCTTAAGAAAACGAAGTTAAAAAATATTTATTAGGAGTAAGAAAATAAGAGTGAATGAAAAGAAGGGTGAGTAGGAGAGAGATAGTAAAAAGGTAAAGAAGTAGACACATTATTAATCAATGGAGGGTCACACAACTATTGTTGGTTGGACCTCTACCAATACCTAATACAAATATCAAGTAACTATGTCTACCTATTAGGCCACCCCTGGGTGCTACGAAAGAAAACACATCTTTCTTTGGCTACGCTATAATTCAAAAGACCCCACGAAAGAAATGTTTCAAACAGGATGCAAGGATGTGATATCGATGAAATATGTTCATCCTTAACTAGATGTCTTGAACCATTAGAATGAAGAAAATAAAAATAATTTAAAAAGTTATGCCACGCAACTGACGATCTAATCTAACCAGCCTTGGTGATGAATCTGTCGCATCCCTTCCAGCAGGAAGGAATAAAGCGACTTCAAAAAAGTTGGTATAACGAAAGTAAAGAAGCAAAGTAAAACTTGCAACTTAGAGTTGGAAACAAAATTTTGATCAATATAACTATCACTGATATCTTACTTCATAATAATACACTTGATTAAAGGTAATATAAGATACGATAAGCTAATTTTAACAAGCACTTATCGAGGACTGACAGGCAAATAGCGACACATAATCAGAGGGAGTGTTCCCAAACATACAAATAGGAGCATCATATAAGTGGATTGGCCTGCATTTGAGTGGCCAAATCAATACTCACCTATTGTTTGGTCAAAATGAGTTTATATATCTAGAATAAACAGTGGACAATAACTCCAACCCACTTAACTCAAAATCAATCATTTTATTTCTTCTACAATTATTTGTTACCAAATTAAAATGTGCTGGGATTATAAAATCTATAAGATAGAGATGACCCTCTCATGAATATTTATTTACCTCAAAACAACCCGCTAAGTCAGACTGGCTTATAATTTCACAGGCTAAATTTGACACCCCTATGTAAAAACATAACCTAGGGTCTTTTAAATTCTTAACAGTAGATCAATGTGATGTGACAAGCTACATTAGGTGCTCATGAGCAATAAGACTGCTCATATAAAACAAATTCTCTGCCCCACATTGTTTTGGGAGAAAACCAAAAGATCCTACACCATGGAACTTAATGTGGTGCAACCCAGACATGTTACTCTGACAGTCAGACACATACTGAATACATTTGAAACAAGATAAAAGACCAGGATAATCAGGCTACATTACGCATTTTATATTATCACCCAACACCAATGGATGACAACAACCCGTCTAACATTTTCATGCAGCAAATACCAGAAGAATTCCTATTGAATATTTTAACCAAATCAACCTCAATAGCATCCAGAATGAGCTGGTAGACACCTGATGAAACTCGACAAGTATCCATAAGGACCAGAAAATACCAATTTCAGTTTAAGTACAACTTTGACACCACATTAAGAAGGCACAGTAACTTGACAACCGCTGCAACAGGAAGATGACATGACTGACTTTCAGACACCCACACTGAGCAATGCTGGACGACAACTCTGGACCTTCTCAACCCTTAAACAAGCCCTAGTACTCACTGGAACAGTAGACAACTTTGAATTAATAGATGCTGGATAAAATAGATGCAAGCAAACACAAAAAGAAAAGGATAAAAGTAAACAAGAAGAACAAGTAACATATGAAATACCCAAACAGGAGAAAAGAAAGAAAACTAGACAAGATAGTACCCTTTTGGTGCTAGAGGGTATAATTCCAACACAGAATTTCATACTAAGAAAGTTTCTTGAGCATAATATGCATG